AAAAAAAAAGAAATTTAGTTAATTTATGTATATAGTTTTTTTTAGGTTATATATGCTAATTTTCCAAAAGGTAATTACTGTAATTTTTTTTTAACACAATAATTCGAGACCTTCTTCATCTATAATTTCCAAATTAAAAATTTACTTCAATTTTCACCCTTTTCTTCTTCTTGATGTGTAAGTAATCCAAGTTTTTTTTTTGGTTTAAGTTAAAAAACAAACGCTTAGAACGTGCAAAGTGCACCCACTTTTTTGTTCTCAAGAAGAAGACCGAGTTGCAATTTCCTCATCATCATCTTTTTTCATCATCAAACCACTTCTTCTATTGTGTTCATCTTCAATTTCCCATCCATAAGCCAAAAGAGTAAGTCTTTCTTTCTACGCAATCTTCGAAACTTCCCAAGTCTTTTTTCCAATTTGGATCATCATCATCATCGTTCTCCTCCCTCTTATTTTTATCAGGGTGCATAGTAAGAATCGGATATGGATGTGGTTCAGAGAAAAGTGAACAGTATGGGAAGAAAAGTTGCTACTTTCCCTTATGTTGAAACTATTGGAAGAGCTCTCTTTGCCTCCTCCTTCTTCCTCTCTGCTTGGAATGAGTACAACTCTTCAACCATTCTCTTTTGTTTTCCATCATCAATATCTTTACTTGGAACTCAACTAGAGATTTTTATCAGAATTATTTCTAGAATTTATAGAAATATTAGAAGATGTGTTGAAAATTGAAAAGATGATTGTAAGGTATTTGTTAAATTTCATGAGTTCTTAACTCAAAAATGATTTTGACAATATTGACAATGAGTAATTAGTCCGAGTCCATTATGTTTTATTTTATAAAATTTTCGATTTGAGATCCCTAACAGATACTCCTCTGTTTTAGCAAGAAAGAGTTGATGATTAAACTGAAAAAGTGGGCTTGTAAACAGTTACATGGAGCTCATATCAAATTGGGGAGGACCAGAGGATTACTGGAGACCGAAGTTTGGCTACTCAGGAGACCAGATCAAGCATCTTATAGCAGTTAGTATCATAGTGAAGACGCTTGGTGGACTTATCTTCATTTATGGCAGCTTCTTCGGAGCTTCCCTCTTGGTACTAATTCTATATTTGCTCTTATTAACGTAGCTGAATCTAGATAACTGCAAGGTTATTTCGTTTAGTATAAGAATCTCCGAATACAACAAAGTCCATTTGAGTCTTTGAGCTTTACCAAAAACATTGAATCAAGGAACCAACCTTAATTTAAAATAAGATCAATTTGTTTCCTTGTGTTTAAATAGATTCTACACCAAGGCATTGCTACAATGATACATCATGATTTCTACAATCATCGTGTCGACATTGAAGAATTTGGATTGCTTTATCTCAAATTCAAAAGGGTAATAACAACATCTATTTCTTCTTTTTTCAGCCACTATGTATGCTTTCTTTCGAGTCTTATCTTTTTCGTATTTTGTCTTCGGGTTTTGTTTATTTAGATCCTGAATGAAACAATGTCCTACGACACCGCGAACAATTTCTACAAGTCAAACTTTGACGAGCAGCATATTGAAGAAGTCATATCAAAATTCCGCGAGGTGATTTCTTGAGGCTTATGTGTGATAAGTTTAGATAGCGAATATAATGTATTTTTTTTTGTAGCTTGAGACCGAGTATAATGTATTTTTTTGTTTGTAGCTTGGGAATCACGCGGCTACACACTCTTCATTGTTCGGGCATAACGAGTTTTTCATGGATCTCTTAAGCTTCATAAAGGGATTAGCCATAGTAGGAGCATTGCTCTTTTTCGTGGATATGAAGCATAGACTCGATAAAGCCAAGAAGCAATCCAAAGTTAAAACTGAGTGAAACTAAGCCAAGATGCAAACCTTTTCTTTCACAGATTTTCAATGTGATTTCGTTTATTGTGTTAGTCTCAATATCGAACTCGAATTCGAATAATCTTTTGACTAATGGGGCTATTAATTCATTAGTCTGTGGCGCATCCAAAAACTGGAAATCATTGTTAAAAGCTATCAAAATATCAACAAATATAGTAGAATATCATAGATTTAAATTATTGGAAGACATGGTTCTAAATAACAACAAATAACAATGGATTTAAAATCCCTTTAAA